TCAAGCGCAGACTGGGCGGGGCCAAAAGAGGGTGGGTCGAAGAACTATACAACGTCCTGTGGGCCTACCAAATAATGTTGCACTCAACGACTAGTGAGACCCCATTTCGGCTAACCTATGGCACTGAGGCAGTCATCACCATGGAAACCATGGAGCCATCCAGGAAAACAGAAGTCCCTCTTGACAAGGAGATCAACGATGAAGCCTTACGAGAAGAGCTCGATCTAGTCGAGGAAATACGATCAGGAGAAGCTCTTCGTGAGGCCATGCTGAAACAACATATAGCCCTTCGCCATGACAACAAAGTCATAAAATGCGAATTCCAGGTCGACAACCTAGTCTTACGGAGAAATTAGAAAGATTCCCAAGAAGGGAAACTGGCCACGAACTGGGAAAGACCATATCGCGTCCAAGGAGCTATGGGCACCGGGGGATACTACCTCGAACAACTAACTGGAGTACCTCTACCTCGACCATGGAACGCTACAAAGTTGAAACAATACTATAGCTAAGTCCTTGTCAAGCAACGAGCATTATCAGTCGACTGATCCTCTCTAACAGACAACAAGACACGATTGACCACAGAGGCATGTCGAGGTACAAACATAGCCTTCAAACATTAACGAAAGGCGGGTTTTGTCATTCATTTCACGAACCAAACCTTAGCCCAACAGAGACACCTCGATCGAGCTCTGTTGTCGAAGTACCCAAAAGACAGAACGCCCATCTCATGATGGGAAGTTCATGCCACGAAGTCAAGATCCCGACCACGATCTTGAGTTCGTCCTGCAGATTCCTACACCACTTTCTTGACACATCCCAATGTGTGTCGACCATAACCGAGGTCGGGCTCAAATCTTCATTCACATAATTTCAAAGTTTCATAAAATAAACAAGTCAAAAACAACGACAAGCAAATATTTAACGAACATCAACAAGTGCATAACGGAAAAATAAAAGCATTTATAAATGCCGACCACGAAGGCCGACGCTGTTCAAATAATTACAAAACATAAAGGCACGCAAGCCAAAAACTGAAACAAAACCGAGCATGCTGACCCGAAGACATCAAATCTCATCCTTCCTGTCACTACCCTCCTCGGGACTATCAGCGGGGGGATAAAAGATTTTTCCATCGACCACCTGATTAAATGACCCTGAACCTTCAACCATTAACTCAACCCCCCGAGTTCAATATCTTGAGCTGCTCCACGACTGTGTTAAAACCATTACCGAGGGTATCCACGACATCTTGTTCGAGCACGCGGATAGGCTCGATTAGGTCTCCCCAGGTCGTCATGGCATTCTCCGCCTCAATCTCTTCATCAGCAGGTGCCGAGATCCCCTCCAGCTCTTTTATTCTGGCGACCAACCGCTCGTTCTCTTTGGCCACATCATCCAGCTGAGGCCGCAACTCATTCAGGTCCTTGAGAAGTCAGACCTGTGACTCATACTTTACCTCGTGGTTGAGTATGTCATTCTTTAGCTTCGTATTTTTTCCTTTCAGCTTCTCAATCTTAGCGAAAGCTTTGTCAAGGGAGGCCTGAGAGCCTGCAACGTCATCATTCAATGTCAACGTCGTCTCTAGGATTATCATCACGGCGGCCACATCGTCCGTCATTTTCTTCCGACGGGTCTCTTTATCCTCGGATAAGATCGGTTCCCTCTCATCCTCGTGGAGTCCTAGAGAACTCTCCCTGCTGAAGATGGTCCGATTGAGATAGTAATGAGGCAACACATAGACTCCCTCGGCTCCCCCTCCACCTTCGGGAACCACCCGCTCGGGATCTTCCATGCACTTACTCTTTGCCTGTTGTTCAGGAGGAGGAGCATGAGTCTTCGAGGAGGGGGAACCACTAGCTCGGCCATGAGCTTTGGCCTGTTGCTGAAGTTAGGCAGCTCGACTATTGGGATCTGAGGTGGAGGCATTCTTGGCCTTAACTTGAGTAAGCGCTCGGAGAGGGACGCCATCCAATCTGCAACCAAAAAGAAAATGTTAGTCACAAGGCAAACATACAAAGAGAAACTCACGGGCATGTCCCCTACCTAAAATCCGCAAAGCTTCCTCGTCTGAAGAATACTCGAGCAACGCCTTTGTATTTATCAGTCTAATAACAAGGAGATACTCCCCGCTCCCCGTTGTCATCAAAGAGGAGGTTGTTGTCCACGTCCATGCACCTCGCCGATGTGAAACTCCTGACATAGGTCACCAGCTTCTCATAGAAAAGCTGGTTCTCGGCATATAAATCCTTTGGTTTCAATGCATAATACTCGGGCTTCTTCTTGAAATGTTTCCACTGTCATTCAAGAGGAAATCTAGCGTTCAATCGAATTAATGTCTGACCTTCCCCGACCACCTCCGAACGTTCACAACGAAGTACCTCTCTTTAAAATGACAGGAGAATTCAAGATACGACTGGAAGAGTTTCCCGAACTGCTTAAAGGACACCCAGGCTTGTCCCCCTATGATAGACTGCCTTTGTAGATGGAATATGTAGAAGAAGAGGGGCAGCGTGACGCCTATTTGTAAATATTAACATACGAGCTCGAAGGCGCGCATGAAAGCAAGTGCATTTGGGTAAAGCTGAGAGGGAGCCAATTGTAACCATTGAAAGACCCCGACCTGGAAATCATTGAAGGGCAAACGCATCCCCGCTTCCTTAAAAGCGAATTCATACATGGGAAAGCGTTTTCCCAGATATGTCAAGCATATTCTTCTATTTTTATGAGGGATCTGCAAGACCCAATTGGCCAGGGCATCCTGTGCTCGAACCTCTCTGCAATTGAATGTATCAGTAGCATCCTACGAGAATATTGACTTTTTGTTCCTAGGTTCAGGAGAAACCCATGCCAAAGGGTCTTCCTCGACAACATTATCGTCCTCATGGGTGGCGAGCATAATGTCATCCTCAATTTGGTGGGCCATCGTACCTGAAAGGCAGGGAAAAATAGTGAATTCGCCATCATCAAATTCACCCTTCCACCGCAAATCAAGTGAAAGGGCGATGATTGCGTCGAGGATTGGACCTCGTCCCAAGCCCTTGTCGACCAACTTAAGAATGAACCACGCCATGCACGGGAACGCCTGGGCGGCCCAAAAACTACCCCGCTACACGGGGAGGACGCCGCCGCACACATGAAGTTGGGCGTATGAACCTTCACCCGTGGCCATGAATGTTGATGAACACCCATGAAGATTCATGATAGAACTCACGAACATTCATCCAGAAGTTCACCCATTCATAATAAAAACTAAGTATTCAATCTAAAAATCTGGGAAAAAACATCATCAAGAATATATAACTTATTTGGAAAGATCTTGGCTGAAGTGTTGGGGTGACGTTGGAACAAAGGAGATCCATGAGTAGAAGAAAGAGGATGGAGAGGAAAACGTGAAAATGGCAAACGATTTCAATGATTCCACTATTTATAATGGGTTCACACCCCCACGAGGCAGCATACGAAAAGTCATCATTACTTTGGGCTTTTGAACTCCCCTATGAAAAAATGGCACCCAAAACAGCTGCCATGTAGTGTGACAAGCAGCCACGTGCCCACTCTTGAAGACGCATTTGTCCCCGACTCATCTACTGAACGTCATATACGGGCCAATGGGCGATGTTTCAGTCTCAGGGATGAGCAACGGACAACCCCCAAACACAGCCGTGATTACGAGAAAATCTATATTGTTCCACTAAAGGTGAGACAAACGCTTGACGTCGGGGCAGCTCCTCATAGACGAGCGCGACAAAAGAAATTTCAGGGAATCCTTTGCTTCACATGGACATATGTGCCTGGCGGGCATGAAACCGACAACATCGGAGTTAAAATCGACCGAGGGACCACCCACTGACATAGTCGATCATGCCACACACATGTTTTATGCATCCTCGACATCAACCCACATATCATCCTCAACGGAGTTGGGCAATTCCTCCTTGCGGGAAAGGTTCCCCCGACAATGGAATTGAACTTAAGTCATCACCCTTTCATCTACTGACAATGACTTGGGGCTCATATTCTGGACTGGGCCAACTTTTTCCCCACCGTTGGAGAGGCCCAGTTCAGTGCCTCTGTCAAAGGCCCAAAGCTGCAACCCAACATAATGACCGTTGGGCATTTCCCCACGTGTCCGCTAAGAAGATGTTGCCCATATGTCCAAACCGTCATCATACCGCCCTCCGGGAATAATGGGTCCAGTACCTACTTTCTCGGGGCAATTGACTAAGGAGGGAGCCACGTGCTGGACCACATACACACGTAAACCCTGGTAGTCTTCCTTGTTGGGCCTCATCATGACCCATCATTGAAGACCTTGGCCCAGCGATGGGGGCTATAAATACGCTCTCATTTGAGATGGTCAAATATTGATTCTTTAACTCACATCAAACTGTTGCTCGACAAAAAACTCGAAGACCCTGACAGTCCCTTCTGATCAGATATGATCATAAACTTTAGAGTGTGCTTGTTTTAAGTTATAAAATTATACTCCTTGAAATTATATTCTTTAGATTATTATTGTTAGAAATAATATTGACACTTATGTGTTTGAACAAAAATTAAAATTCCTAAAAATGTTTACAAATAAATTTAATTTAAAAATTATAAAAAAAAATAAAAATAATGAGTAGAAGTGAGAAGTTAAAGATAATTAAATTTATTCTCATATGAATCTTGGATTTCCACCTTTTAACCATGTGTATAACTATAAAAACGATAAATCATTTTGAAAAACTTGAAACAAACATGAAATTATTGCATTTCTAATGTTATATTCCTAAAAATGTAATTAGAATATTTGAAACAAACACAGCCTTAAATAAACTTTGTAAAAAACAATTTAAAAAATAAAAAAAATGCAAACCCCATTTGATATAGATAAAATGCAAAATGTAACACCAATTTCACATATCTCACCTTATCCATCTTCTATCCCATAAAATAAAAAAACCTAAACAGAGAACGTATCTGTTGAAGAAACAAACCATAGAGATATTAGCATGGCCATGGCGTCTGTGGCTCAGCAACTCACGGGTGTAAAATGCACCCCTCTTCTATGGAAACCAACTCTAGCCCAAAAGCAAAGACGCAGTGGTGTTCTTCCTATTGTATGTTCCATTGCAATTTCAAGTGCAAATAACAGAGAAAGAATAAAGTTGAAACAACTCTTTGATGATGCTTATGAGAGGTGCCGCACTGCTCCAATGGAGGGTGTTTCCTTTTCTTTTGATCAGTTTACTGAAGCTCTCGAGAAATATGACTATGAGTCTGAAATTGGGACTAAGGCAAGTTCGTTTTTTTTTTTTTTATAAAGTTGTGATTTTTATTACTGATTGATGTTTTTTTAGTTGAATTTTGATGTGGGGTTGTCTTGAATTTCTGTTTAATTCATTGTTATGGTTGAATTTTGGATTTTTTTTTTATTGTTGATGAAAAGGGGTTTATGTTGAATTGACATTTTTGTATGGTGTGTTTGGAATACCTAATTCTGTGATGAGATTGTTTCTTAGAGGGATAATTCTTTGATGTAATCTGAAATACATTGGTGATTCTTGCTGGTTTGGTTTCAGGTTACTGGCAGTGTGTTTGGCACTGATACTAATGGAGCTTATGTTGACATTGCTGCAAAATCCACAGCTTACTTGCCGGTGCGAGAGGCATGCATCCGTAAAATTAAGCATGTAGAAGATGTGGGCATGTTTAATGGCGTGAGAGAGGAATTTGTAGTCATTGGTAAAAATGAAATTGATGATGGCATGATCTTGAGTTTAAGATCTATCCAGTATGACCTTGCTTGGGAACGTTGTAGACAGCTTCAAGCGGAAGATGCTGTTGTGAAGGGTAAGGTGAGTTTTGCTTACTCAGAAATTTGGCGTCGGTCGATGTTTCGCGTTATTGTGTTTAGCATAAGAAAAACATTTTCATTTTCGTTTGTGAGTTGATTTATTCACACGCTTGTATCATATGTGCCCTTTGTGTGGTAGATTATTGATGCAAATAAAGGTGGTGTTGTGGCTGAAGTTGAAGGCCTTAAAGGATTTGTTCCGTTCTCGCAGATGTCAACGGTTAGCTCTTAACCCACTTTGAAATTTATATACTTGCATGCATTGAACTCAAAACTCAAAACTTTTTCCCATTTGCCTATTTTCTTGGCAGAAAATACCGGGAGAAGAGATTATTGAGATGGACATTCCTCTGAAGTTTGTCGAGGTGGATGAGGAACAGTCCAGACTTGTCCTTAGCCACCGCAAAGCTGTAGCCGGCATTCAGGGACAATTAGGAATTGGATCAGTAGTTACTGGCACTGTGCAAAGTCTAAAGCCATATGGTGCTTTCGTTGACATTGGTGGAATCAGTGGCCTCCTTCATGTCAGTCAAATCAGTCATGATCGTATATCGGATATTGCAACTGTTCTTCAATCTGGTGATATTTTGAAGGTAAACATATTAAAAATATACTATATTGATATTTGAATAGCGTTAAATGTGCCGTGTTGGTATAAAATCTCATTTATTGTAATGATTAGGTGATGATCTTAAGTCATGATCGAGAGAGAGGCCGAGTAAGTCTTTCAACAAAGAAGTTGGAACCTACACCTGGAGACATGATTCGTAATCCAACGCTTGTGTTTGAGAAGGTATCTTTAGTTTTTTGCTTGCCGCATTGGTAAACTACGATTATGCTAGAAGAAGCCAAGATGCTAAATTATTTGTTGCTATGTGTTGTTCTTATAGGCGGAGGAGATGGCTCAGACATTCAGACAGAGAATAGCACAAGCAGAAGCCATGGCTCGTGCTGATATGCTTAGGTTCCAGCCAGAGGTATTTGCTTGTTAATATAGATTTTTGTTTTTAATATGAACTCAATGAAAATGAAGCAGCAGCAAGATCAAAATAGCATAAATAATCACTTCTTAGAAGATGGCTTATTTGTACTGAACCGTTATTGTTGGGTTTTACAGAGTGGATTAACTCTAAGCAGCGACGGAATCTTAGGACCACTTGGTTCAGAATTGCCTGCAGAGGGACTGGATCTAAGTGAAATACCCCCAGCTGAAGATTAATGATTGAGGGATTTCAAAGTTCTTAACCTTTTTTGCGTTTGTTACACAATTTGATCTATGTATTGTTGTAGAATGTTAAACCTAATGTTATCTTTTTCTTCTGTTTTGATGTATTAATCTTTCCTCGTAATTGTAAAATTGAAAAATATATATATAATCTATTACTATGTATCTATTTGAATCGAATTCTTGTCTCGACAATAATAGCTTCTTGTTTACATGTTGATGTCAAAGTCTTACATGTTGTAGTTGAAGTACGTTCAAGCATGCATCAATCGAAATATGTTATGTTACTTGAATTGGACAAGTTTGTTAGCTCAATTGTTTAAGTTAGCTTATTACTTGAGTTAGTTTTGTATTCTATAAATAGAGTGGTCCTCTCAAGTTGTTGAGAGAGCATTGGTTGTTTTTATTCACTTGTAATCTTTGAATCCTAATTGAGAAAGTGAATAGTTAAACAATTATAATCGATCCTGATTTTCTTCTTCTTCTTCTTCTTTCTTCTCTCTCTTTCGTAAAACATAAAAGTGTTTCTTGTGTTTGTTCAAAAAACTCAATCTTTCTCATAGTTTTGATTTGTCCTTGACAGCACTCTGTTACAACACCATCTAACAATAACAACAATTTAACTCTCTATTTCCATAACAACCATCATACGTCAAACTCTTGATCCATACACATACATACAACAAACTCCTCAACTGAACCATCATTCACACCAATTACACTGCATAACTCAACTATTAAAATTTCCAATAACAAATCTATTTAAATCCCTCAATTTCTCAACTACTAACAACAAATTCATCCATACAAACAAATTTCTACTATCCCATAAATGAAATATCAAACCTATCACCAACACGACTATAAAACCAATTCACATCAGACAACAAATTCGATTTTGAAAGAGAAAAGTTTTTGGATTTTTTTACGATGAGCATCATAGATTAAACTCGAGTCCGAAGATATGCTCATTTAGACTGTCATTTCTTGCGGGGCAAACTGAGATTTTTGGCCTACGCGCTATACTTTTCCCACTTCGTTCTATTTTTGCAGGATTTGGCGGGTACAATTCTAAACAAGACGACCTTGACTTTCAGATACTTTTAGGTTTTAGGAATCCAGAGTCAGTCAGACCCATTCCACACTAAGTTTTTGCGAACTAATCAAAGGTTTTCGGTCCGCACCCTTTACTTGGCTCATTCTATCCTGTTTTTTACAGACTTTGGCGTAGTACTTTGTCTAAGTGGGGATTAAAGACCGCCTACAAGGTCAAGACCAATGATGAAGACCATATCTTTTTCACTTTCGTAACGATCTACTTTCTATTATTTCGTAATTTTTTAAATCTTTTATCAATTTATAATGTATTAAGAATTGAGAAAATAATTTTATGATATATTCTTTTTATTATTAAAATAATGTTAAAATGTTTATTAACTTATTAAATTCATAAAAATTAATACACAATTGATTTCTATTTTGGTTATGAAATAAAGAGAAAGAGGGAAATTGTTTCTTTTATTATTTTATTTTTTTGATCATATTGAGATTGATCATATTTATAGGATATCATATAGATTATGTAATAAATATAAATTGTGTTATAAATAAGGAATGAAGTTATTGAAAGACAAATTATCCATTATTCATAACACTCCCTCTTGAATGTTTTAGATATGTCTCATTAAAAGCTTACTAGAAAAAATCCAGTGAAAAAAAAACCAGTGAAAGAAAAAGTGTATAATATCCTTTTTAATTTAAATTCATTTCTCCCACTCATCTGAATAATTATTTCTTTGACGTTGAAAATCAATCTTTTATACTAGTTGGTTAAAATTTCTACTTGGAAGTGACTTTGTGAAAAGATCTGCAAGATTATAAAATAAACTGATGTAACCATCTTTCAATTAAATGATGTATGCAGTATTTTCTTTATATATGGTCGTTGTATTTGATTTTTCAATTGAGAAATATGTTGTGTTGAATTAAGGATCTCAACCTAGCGCATTCTCGACTTGCCTCATGTAATGCTAAAAGTTTTGCATGATTAGACGAAGTTGTTTCTATGGTTTGTTTCACCGATCTCTATGAAAGAGTTGTACCACCACATGTAAACAAATAATTTGTTTCTGATCTATCATTATGAGGATCTGACAAGTAACCTGCATCTCTATAACGTGTTAATTTGAATTTGGATACTTTGGTATAAAACAAACTCATGTATATTGTATGTTTAAGGTAACGAAATATATGTTTGACTCTGTTCCAATATCTTCATGTAGGTGAAGAATTGTATCTTACTAATAAGTTAAGACCAAATGATATATCAAGACATGTATAATTAGCAAGGTACATCAGTGCTCCAAATGCATGAGATATGGTACTTCGGGACCAAGTAATTCTTCATTTTTTTTCTCGATGTCTGAAAGGATCTTTCTCCATATCTAATGATCTAACAACCATTGGAGTGGACAACAAGTGACATTTGTCTATATAGAAGTGTTTTAACATTTTTTCTATATAGCCTTCTTGAGGTACAAATATTTCATTGTCCAAATGCTCAATTTGTAAACCTAGACATAATTTTGTCTTTTCTAGGTCCCTCATCTCAGACTCTTTCTTTAAATAATTCATAGCTTTTTGAAGCTCTTTAGCACTTCCAATAATAGTTGTGTCATACACATAGACACCTATTATTGCAAATTATTCTCCTGATCTTTTTATAAAAAAATACAAGGAAAAATGGAGTTATTTGTATATCCCTCTCTAAGAAAATATTCACTGAGACGATTATATCACATATGTCCATATTGTTTCAGCCCATAGAGAGAGAGAGAGACTTGTTTAATTTTATGGAGTAGCTTTATCGAGATCCAAAATTATATGCATCTGGTATATTGAACACTTCAGAGAGTTTCATGTAAATTCTATTACCAAGCGAACCATAGAGATAGAGGTGAAAATAGACTAGGTTAGGCTTTAGACGGCATGGGTCTGGCCTAAGATACTTAGTTGGCTTGAGTCTGGCCTATGGCCTATTATAGGATCTCTCTTTTTTTGCATGGAATGACCTTTTTAAAAGTCTAGCCTGATCGGAAAACCTATTTCTCATTAAGGTTTTCAACTAATCCATATTATTTAAGAATGCTTATAGGTTGGCCTATATGTATATATAGGTTGACCTCTATTTAATATTTTTTCTAATATATATGCATATATAGATCATCCTATTTAGACACACACACACAATATATATATATATATATATATATATATATATATATATATATATATATATATATATATATATATATATATATATATATATATATATATATATATATATATATATATATATATATATATATATATATATATATATATATATATATATATATATATATATGAAAATATAGGTTAGGATTTTATAAAAGTCTAAGCCTAGCCTTCTTATTAAATTGGCCTGATCTGACCCGACTTTAAATAGGTTAGACTATAGGCCCCTGTAGGCCTGGCTGGCCTATTTACATCCCTACATACAGATAAGTTGTTACAACATCCATCATATACAAATTAATCCCTTCATGTGCTACAAGACTTATTAAATATCGAAAAGTGTTTGCATCCATTGTAGCTGAATATGTCTCATCAAAATCAATTCCATATCTTTGTGAAAATACTTGAGAGATGAGTCAAGCTTTGTATCTCACAATTTCATTATTTTCATTTCGTGTTCGCGCGAAAACCCATTTGTATCCAAATGGCTTCACACCTTGAGGTGTTTGGACTTTGGGTCCAAAGACTTTTCTTTTGTAGAGCGAGTCTAATTATGCTTCAATTGCATCTTTTTATTTTGGTCAATCCTCATTTGTCTACAATTTTTAATAGACATTGGTTCCTGATCTTCTTTGTCATTTATCACATTTAGAGCTAATTGTATGAAAAAATATCACCTATGTCGACTTCATGTCGATTTCATTGTATTCCATTTTGCACATAATTTATCGAGATCTCTTTATGTTCATGAGTTTTAGGTACCAGATCAATCTCTTCTAGAGATGAAATGTTTATTATGTCTGAAGATTCTTTTAGATTTTCTATATCCTCGCTTTTACCATATTTATTCTTAGCTCCCTTTCTTGTTCGAGGATTTTTATCTTTGAAACCGGTTGATCTGCCACGCTTCTGGCGGGGTTGAGACTCATTGGATTGTCCAACAGGGATATCCATTTTTATTGGAGCATTTGCAGCTGGTATATATGATTTAGTCACACCTTTTAGATAAGTGAATGTGTTTGGTAATTGATTTGCTAAGATTTATAGGTGAATTATCTTTTGAACTTCTAGTTCACATTGTTTTGTTCGAGGATCAAATGAGATAATGATAATTCATTCCAACAGATCTCTTTTTCCAGTTTCTTATTCTCTCCCCCTAATGTTAGAAAATTTAATTAGTCAAAATGACGATCAGCAAAATGAGCAATGAATATATATCTTGTTGTTGGTTCAAGGTGCTTTACAATAGATGGAGATTCATATCAAACATATAATCTCATCCTCCTTTGAGGATCCATCTTAGTGCGTTGTGGTAGAGAAATTGGAACATACACCACACATCCAAAAAAAATTAGATGGAAAATTTTAGGATCTTAACCAAAAACTAATTGTAAAGGGGAAGAGTGTGGTAACTCGTTGACCTGATGTGAATCAATGTTGCAGCATGCAAAATTGTATGTCCCCAAGCAGAAACTAGGAGTTTGCATCATATAATAAGTGTGGTCTTTCAATTAATTTTATATGTTTAATAAATAGTTCTGCAAGTCCATTTTATGTATGAATATGTGCTACTGAGAATTCAATGTCAATTCCAATAAACATACAATACTCATTTGAATGTTTGAGATAAAATTTTTACATCATTATCAAGACGTATTTTCTTGACAGGATAATCCGGGAAATGAGCTCTTATTTGAATTAGTTGAGCTAACAATCTC